TGTTATGTATGAGAGACAGAGGAGGGGATGAATTTATAGTTTTTTTATTTTTGCCTTATTCTTTTTTTTTTTTACAACAAAGTTGCTAGATCTTGATTGACCAAATTCCCAAATCAGTCCATTTGCCAGATTGCATGCACAAACTTAGGGGGCTACTATTTTTAAACATACCAAGTATGCCAAGCAAATTTGTTTTTTGTTCGGAGAGATGGCCTTAAAGTTTTGTTATCATCCATGCCTATAAGAGGCCTTCGGCTTTTATAGAGTTTTTTCACGTTTAGGGAAGCCACGAATGTTATTCTTTGTTGCGATGATAATACTGTTGACAAATCTCTATAATTTATACAATAAAGTTGTTACTCCTTGACCCCCCAACGATTTTTCTTGCTAGTGGAATGCACAAACTTATATTGTATTTCTTAGTATTTATGCCTTTTTTTTTTTTTTTGAAACGAGTTTAGCCTCAAAGTTTATCATCCTCCATTTTTGTCAATGCATTGTGTTGTTTTTCCACCATTAGTGAGACCTCCAATGTTATTCTCTATTATGATGCTAATACCATTGGGTATTTTATATCATTTGCACTCTCGTTTATTCCAATTGTTTTTTCTTTTGGGAATAACGTTTTTTTTTGTCTTCGCACTACACCTAATATGGTGTAAGTCCCAAGTTGTTCACCCTGTTAACTTTTAGAAAAAAAACCTTGGTTATTGTTCTTTCTGTCGTAAGTGTATTACTCTAGCTTCAACTTAAGAAAAAAATCATTGGCTATTGTTCTTTCTGTTTTGTTATGTTCTATCATTGCCTGTATCTCCGAAGTTTGTGTGTGGTGGCCTAGATAATCACTAAGGTGTTCTCTTGCAATTTGCACATTGTTATAGGTTTGTTGATCTGTTGACTATTCATTCAACTTCCTGCCCCGTTCGTCTATCTAATGCACAAAATTCAGTATACATATTTGTTATTTGTCTTTAGGTGTCTATGGTATTATAACAACATGTTGGTATAGTAATTCCACATATGTTTTTTTATGACTCTTACATGTCTGAGGGCCACGAAATGGCAGAGGTGCCAGTTCAATCTTATTCAATTGAGCTGGATAAAAAAAAGTTGCAAACACGAAGTGGTCCGTTCCACCGAGAGTCCCTTCGATGGTAGCCTAATTTACTAGAGTCTTAGGTCTACTTGTACTGTCTTGCTTTCATGTGCGTGTTTGACCAAAAAAAGTTTCACCTTATCACTCAGTGTTGCTATTTCGTCATTAAGTCATTAGACAAGGGATTTTTTGGAGTTTTCCACTTGCATCAAGTGTTCTAAAAAATCCTTCAGATACTTACCTAGAGATAGCAGTTTGATTAGGGATGTATCAAACTTGGACCTTTTTTGATGTGTTGATGAAAAGATAAGTCTACTGTTACCACCCTATGATAAAAGAACTTACATATGCTGATGAACATTATTTCGGTTGTTACATGCACGTTTGTCATGTCCCGTGTTATAAGTTTAAGGTCAATCCTTGAGTTTGAGAGTCCTACTTCACCTCTTCATCTTATGCATATTGTGTTTTCTTTGACGGGCGCAACGTCATATACGCATCTTGCAGGTGGAGAGTGCCCATAAACCCTCATAGCATATCAATATCTTGGGTTATTGCATCATCGATATTGTCCTTCCGCTCCTGCTGATCTCCTATCCATCGCCAAGTCCCGAGTGCTATTAAAATCACCTACTAGGATAAACAAAATGTTTGTAGGGAGAGACTGATATAGCTTGTGAAGAAACCCAGCTCTATCCAATGGGGAAACCTAACTCTATCTAGTGGGTCATTCAGCTCATAGATGCTGGCGATGCCTATTTCTTTATTCGCTATAGACGCCCTGGGACAGATCCACCTTCCCTCTTTCTAATCAAAATCATAGGAGATGGGTGTCAATCTTGATATTGGTGGCAACCAAATAGCCACCCCCACCGAGCCGTGAGATTTGGTCGGGGTTGAAAAGGTTGTATGGGGCCACACCACTCTCCCTTTCTCTATGGTGGGGTGAATGCAGCAAATTTGTCTATTGTATAGATGCTGCATCCGGCCATCCCCCTTGGTCCTTGTCCTTCAGTATGTCTTAGAATGCTAACTTCTTTGCCTCTGTGGCTTAAACCAGCCAATCTATCCTTAGCAGCAGCAAAGGCTTTTGAGAGGGCCAATAAGGTTGAGGAAGAGGAGGTTATTCAAATCGTTTCGGGTTGCTGCCGCCAGGGCAGTTATTAACATTAGTTTGTCAGTGTAGATGGCTCATTGTTGTTCTTTTGGTCGTTCGCATTCTCCCCACTCCGAGCTGACTTTCACTGCAGCAGTACAACAGGCCTTTTTCAAAATTTTATGTATTTAGGAGCTTCTTGACCGTCTGTACCTATCTTTTGTGACATGTGTATCTGTTGTATGACGAAATGTTGATTTGTGTATAGGATTATTCTGGATAGATTTGCTTTCATCCTGGTTCTGCTCAAGATTCTGTCGGGAGACCAATTTCCGTTGAACAGGGGTATCCGCCCTTTTGTTGTAGGCGAGGTGTTCCCTACTTGCGCCTTGGGTGGGGGCTGTCGTGGTATACAGGTTGAAGTCATCGCTTGTGGTTACCCGTTCTCCATTACAAGGGCATATTCATCCGGGGACCCCAAATTTGCACGGACAGCCAATTTGCAGATCCGGTGGTGGTTAGCGTCACATTGCAGTACCATTCTGGATGGGACATGGTCGTGCCACTGGCAGGTTTGGGAAATTGGTGCTGTGCCTGTTGCACTGAACTAACGGCAAAATCTATGGTGGCTTTTTTCTCTTTTTTGTTCTGCTCTTTTGATTTGGGCAGCCATGGTGGCTCACGCATTGCCGGAGAGCACACATTTCAAAATTGACAGCGCGTCAATATGTTCCTCATATCATTCATTTTTGTGAATTAATTTGAAAAAAAAGAGCAGCTGCAGTCACCTCCTGCTGCTCAACAGGCTGCTGACAAGTGCGGCCTCAAATAAAAACGTTTGCGAATTTGCGTGCCACAGAGCGCCCAAACTTTGTGGATTCGGGCATATGGGGTCCCAGTGTGAGTATGCACTAAGATTGCTTGCATTGTTTCTCTTTTCTTTAATTCTTCTCTCAAGTTCACCTTTCACTAGCTATCTACCACTACTACGGAGGCTTCGTTTCATGTATTTAGGCGCCATTTCCCTTTCACTTCACTCCCTCGCCCCCCCCCTCCTCTTTGTGATAGGGGCAGATCTGGAGCGAACATGGTGGTGCAATCAGGCCTTCCACAATTATGAGCTGTGCCCAAGTCAACCCCACTTACCTGCAGACTGTGGGTAATGTTCTTTTTTTTTTTTTTGTTGGGGGAGGGGTGTCCTACCCTTTTTGAGACCCCCTCCCACCCTGCCTCTCGTCAGGCCTCCTTGGCGCACCCTAGTCCCCCAGTCTACCTCAGTGTCTACCATTCATCAATCATGAGGGTCAATCTTCTACCCCCTACCCCTTATGAGACCCCCTCCCACCCTACCTGTTGTCAAGCCTCCGCGGCTCACCCCTACCTCAGTGTCTACCATTTTTTTCCCCTTTTTTCCCACTCTTGAGGGTCACTCTTCTACAATCATGGTGGGGCAACCTGACCGGACAGCGGTTGCAGGCTGAGCAGGAGCCCCACTCAGCCCTGGTTGAAGCATGGTCCCACGAGCCCTGTCGTACCTGACCAGTACCTGACCAGTACCTGACCTGTACTTGGGGTGCTACCAGTAGGCGTAAGTGCTCTACAGGAACTACCGGTAGGGGTAAGCGTTCTTTCCACATGAGTGGACCCCTAATTGTCCCCAAAACTTGCCGGGGCTCACCAATATGCCGCAGAGATTATTTTCAAAAGGAGCAGTGAGCCACGTGGCCCTCGGGAGGCAGGCCACCTGACTGGCTGCTTATTGGGAACAGCTGGCTCTAGCTGCCACCTTTTTTTTTTTTTTTTTTTTTTGGGCCGCTGCAGTCCTGTCCAGATTTGACAGGTAATTAGCCCTGAAAAGTGTTATTATGCGTCTACGACCATCTTTCCGAAATTAGGGCATCGCCACACAACTCTCGAAATGTGCAAAATAGGAATGAACTTTTCCCGCTAGAACGTGGCCAGATGCTTCCGCCACAATTTTGTCTTTTTCACATTTCGAGAGTGGTGTTGCGAGGCCCTTAGGGCATACTCAGAGCATATTCACAGCACGACTATTTGGACTTATCTCTCTGCGTAACTGCGGCCAGATGCATACAGGACGGTGGCAAATGCGGTCAGATTCACGCAGGAAATTTCTCGTGTGAATTTGACCTGACTACCGGTAGGACTCCTTTTTTTTTTTTTTTCTTTGGTCGACTCTTTCTATTTCTTTGCCTTTTTTTCTTTTCTTTTATTTTTTTTTCTTTGGAAAAGCTGTGGACGTGATTGCGGCGAGATCATCCAGGTCTGGCCGTAGTTACGAGAAAGATACAGCAAGGCGGTCAGATACATTGAAGACAGTGGTAGTGTGGACGAGTACGAGTATATGGCCTTCCTTCTTCTCGATGGTAGCTGAGGCCGGATACTCCTTTTTTTTTTTTTGTTTAATTATTATTCTACGATAAATTCTTCTCTCAAATCTTTTTTTCTTTTTTCTTTTTGAACTTCTCTCAAATCTTTCATCATCTTTCAAATTCTTTCAGTAGTGGAAGGTGAATTGAGGGCGGGTATGCTTATCGGCCAGGGAGGTTATTTTTATTGTCAAACGAAGCAGCGAGCCACGTGGCCTCTTGTGCAGTTAGCCACGTGACCTCTTTTGCAGTGAGCCACGTGGCCCCTTTTGCCCCAGGATCAGCTTGTCGGGTAGCATCATCCTGACCCATCGCAGGGTAGGAAAGGGTGGGCATATACTCACACTACTAGTAGGACGTTTTCTACAAAGCTCTAGACGTGATTGCGGTGAGATTCATCCAGCTCTGGCCGTAATCGCCGTCAGATGCATTTAGGAAAGAGAAAAAAAGGGAGTATCCCCCCCTTACCTTTCTATACCCGCCTGTGTTCACCTCTTTCGTCTGTTCTTGCTGCCCTGCGCGTTCTTTTTTTTTTTTTTTTTTGGAGGAACGCCCTGCGCCTTTTCGTTGTGCATAGCATCGATAGAGGGTCTTAGTGTGGGTCTCCGCTATCAGGTGGATTGTGCTGATGAAGAAGATTGACCTAATAATTGAGTGTTGTGGAGGCATTTGGTGATGAGTGCATATGCAGAATGAAAGCCACGTGGCCTTGGCTTGGTTGAAGGAGGGTGGGGTGGGGTGGGGTGGGGTGGGGTAGGGTGGGGTGTTGATTGAAAAAGAAGGGTAGCTGAGGGAGGGAAGGGGAGATGGCGGGGGCTGCAAATGGGTCGGAGGAACAGCTGCTGCTGCTCGGCTTAGCAGCGAGTGCTGAGGACGGAGGGAGGAGCACTCAGGAGAAGTGGTTGCCCTCCATGCCTGCCATGCCTGCCATGGCTGCCTTCCTCGGGGAAGAAGACCACATGGGGGGTCATCTTGGCCAAGGTAGGTCTGGGGGGGAGACAGGGTCCCGGTCACCGAACCCACCATGGTTGTCCGCATTTTTCAATGATAATGTGGTATCTGATGACATCGCGGAGGCGCAGTCATGTGGGCAGTTTTTCTGGGTTAGCAACGCCCCTCTAGCGGAGGAGGCAGAGTGCAGTGGCGTTGGCGGAGGCGGGGGGGGAGAAAGCGGGGGAGAAGGCGGGGCAGAAGGCGGGGCAGAAGGCGGGGGAGAAGGTGGGGGAGAAGGGGGGAACAAGCGGGAGAATGAAGGGCAAGAGAGCAAGAGAGATGTGACTGTCACGGGGCGGAAGAGGGAGCGGGAGGAATTGGGAAGCACAGCCACAGCCACACCCACAGCCACAGCCAGCTGCAGCAAAGCTAATAGAGAGAAGATGCGTCGTGACCGGCTGAATGAGAGGTTCAATGAGCTGAGTGCAATCTTGGAACCCGGTCGACTACCCAAGACGGACAAGGCTAGCATTCTCGTTGATGCCATTCGGGTAGTTTCACAGCTGAGGCATGAGGCTATACATCTTAAGGAAGAGAATCAGCAGCTCTGTGAAAGCATCAAGGAATTGAAAGCGGAGAAGAATGAGCTGAGAGGAGAGAAGGCCAGACTCAAGATGGAGAAGGAGAGACTAGAGGCACAAACGAAATCCATGGTTCCTGCTTCTTACCTAAACCATCAAGCAACAAGTACACCTTCTCTGGCCATCCCTCATTCTCAGAAAGTTATGACTCCTGCTGCTGCTCCTTTCACACCAGGCTTCATGTGGCAGTGGCTTCCTCCTTCGTCTCTGGACACATCTCAAGATGGTGTGTTGAGGCCTCCAGTTGCTTGATGATTGATTCACTTTTTTTTCTAAGTTACCTACCCTCTTTTCCCGTTTTCACTCGCCTGTCCTCCCTCCCTCCCTCCCTCCCTCCCTTTCCTGACCCTATTATGTATAGCAAGCACAAGCATTTCCCAGTATAGCATCTATTCGCCTGTTCTGGTTTTCACCCCTCCCCTTTGCCCTCTCCTCCCTCCCTTTCTTGACCCTATTACTATGTATAGCAAGCATTTCCCAGTATATCATCCTGTTCGCCTGTTCTTACTTCCATGTCTGATATCCATCTTGTTGTCTTGGATATATATCTACCTTCCCCGCTGCCGCTAGGTGCAAAGTCTTTTCATGGCTGTTTTTTTTTTTTCCCTTTTTTTTTACATGGCTCTCAGTGCAGATAATTTAGCCAGCAGATAGAAAAAAAAACAGAAAAAAAGTAGCCAGCACTCGAGCTACGCTCCTTACAGCTGGAATTGTTGCATCGTTGGTAACTGGATAACAGAGCTCTGCAGCCCATCGAGGGAAAGCTTGACAACCCAGCATCACCATGCCGTGTCTCTCTGGCTGTTTCTGTGTGCGTCTGTGTGTGTGTGTGTGTGTGTGTGTGTGTGTGTGTGTGTGTGTGTGTGTGAGAGAGAGAGAGAGAGAGAGAGAGAGAGAGAGAGAGAGAGAGAGAGAGAGCTTCCCCTCCTCCACGTCGTCCGGCCACTCTTCGACGCTCTCCTGCTCGTCCTCATCCCCGTCTTCCTCCCTCTCTTCTTTCCCTTCGTCTTCCTGATCTCCACCTCCCCTTTGTACGGTCTCGCGCACGCCATTTTTTGTTTTTTGAAAAATACGTAAACAAGACGAGAGAGAGAGAGAGAGAGAGAGAGAGAGAGAGAGAGAGAGAGAGAGAGAGAGAGAGAGAGAGAGAGAGAGAGTGGACATTAACCTGCGCTATCTACGGTCACCTAAGCCCTTGTCTGCTATCAGGGAAGGGGGATGATGACGAGGACGAGCAGGAGGTCGTGGAAGAGAGACAGGACGAGGTCGAAAGGGGGAAATTCTCCACAGAGAGAGAGAGAGAGAGAGAGAGAGAGAGAGAGAGAGAGAGAGAGAGAGAGAGAGAGAGAGAGAGGGAGGGTGCTCGGTGTAATAAACGCACATTGGGCATTATCGAT